AAAATCCGAAATACAAATTCAGTTATAAAGGAGGTAATAAACATAATAAAAACAATGACAATCTGAATATTTTTAGATATTATATTATTTCTGCATTGTCTCATTGTCGCACCTTATTTGTTTTCAACGGCCACTTTGTCAATTTCGTAGTCAAATGTAATAATTATTCATAATTTAAACTTGTGTCCTAATATCTACTCTTAGAAGAAAGATATCGAGTTGCGGTTTTCACAGATGTCTTAGGCCTTCAGTGCTCTATTTCATCGTGTAAAAACAAACATACCATTTGATTTTTCTAAGAAAAATTTCGAAATTTGTAAGCATATCATATAACGCTCCCCATATAGCAGCGACGGTAATCTTTAAATAAAATTAGCTTAAAATGCAGTTGATAGATTAAACAAAGCTCTTTGCAATGAGGCAAAATTTGTTAAATTCCATTAGAGCTAACTGGAGTAATCGGCATTTAAAAAAAATTTGTTTTGAAGGCTCCCCACCACTTTATTGTTGAAGATAGAAAAGTGTTACACAAAAAAGAGTCAACATTGTTTAAGGATTACACTACACTGCATATATTTTCAATACCACTTAATTCAGTAAAATATGGAGAAAATCACAATTTTCTATTTAGTAGTGGCTGTTACGCCACCTAGCGCCCATTTTAGAAACTAGCAAACATTTTCCAGCGATTTTTCAGGGCCACTTTTCTAAATGTAATTTTTTTCCTAAAGCTGTGCGATTATTCGTTTCTGAGATATGCCCGGCGGCCGTTCTTAGTTGGCCACCCGGTACAATATTAACAAATTAACATTTAGTAATTAAACAATTAAGTGAAAAAAAACGAAGAAAATTAATTTCACGATCAATTGAATCGACCTTTGGATTAACCATTTTTTTCGATAAACGTAATTTTCGAGAACTGATTTTTCCGCATTTGACCTTTATTTTATAGTTAACAAATAGATGAAAAATGACTTTAGGTACAACACAAAATAACTAATTTTCCGATAGCTCATCTAGAATAGGCAGTAAAAAATGTGAAAAAACACGTAATTTTGCAACTTATGTGCAATTTGCCAACTTAGTGTCACTTCTTTCGAATTACTATTTTGACATTATAATTCTATTTACCCTTCCCTACAGTGACTCTATACAAGACAGTGGTGACAATACAGTGTATCATTTTCAATTGGTCCACGTGATTTTAGNATCTACTCTTAGAAGAAAGATATCGAGTTGCGGTTTTCACAGATGTCTTAGGCCTTCAGTGCTCTATTTCATCGTGTAAAAACAAACATACCATTTGATTTTTCTAAGAAAAATTTCGAAATTTGTAAGCATATCATATAACGCTCCCCATATAGCAGCGACGGTAATCTTTAAATAAAATTAGCTTAAAATGCAGTTGATAGATTAAACAAAGCTCTTTGCAATGAGGCAAAATTTGTTAAATTCCATTAGAGCTAACTGGAGTAATCGGCATTTAAAAAAAATTTGTTTTGAAGGCTCCCCACCACTTTATTGTTGAAGATAGAAAAGTGTTACACAAAAAAGAGTCAACATTGTTTAAGGATTACATTACACTGCATATATTTTCAATACCACTTAATTCAATAAAATATGGAGAAAATCCCAATTTTCTATTTAGTAGTGGCTGTTACGCCACCTAGCGCCCATTTTAGAAACTAGCAAACATTTTCCAGCGATTTTTCAGGGCCACTTTTCAATATGTAATTTTTTTCCTAAAGCTGTGCGATTATTCGTTTCTGAGATATGTCCGGCGGCCGTTCTTAGTTGGCCACCCGGTACAATATTAACAAATTAACATTTAGTAATTAAACAATTAAGTGAAAAAAAAATGAAGGAAATTAATTTCACGATCAATTGAATCGACCTTTGGATTAACCATTTTTTTCGATAAACGTAATTTTCGAGAACTGATTTTTCCGCATTTGACCTTTATTTTATAGTTAACAAATAGATGAAAAATGACTTTAGATACAACACAAAATAACTAATTTTCCGATAGCTCATCTAGAATAGGCAGTAAAAAATGTGAAAAAAACACGTAATTTTGCAACTTATGTGCCATTTGCCAACTTAGTGTCACTTCTTTCGAATTACTTTTTTGACATTATCATTCTATTTACCCTTCCCCATCATAAAGTGCAATAAAATGTCTACTAATATTTTTTTTACGTTCAAACTCTAATTCGACTGGAGTTGGAGTATAAGTCTAAACACCTTTTGATATCATGTCTTCGTATCAATAAAATAAGAGCACCCTGTACACGCAAACTTAAAATTCTCCATAAGTTTATTTAAAAAAATTACCAAAATGTTATGTCTAGTATAACTTTGTTTATACTTAAAACCAAAAAGGTTTTTTTCCACCTTGTCCATTTTAACCTCGGTCATACTGTAAATAGAATATACTATAAACACAATGTCTTTATATTTGTAATATACACTTGTGTCCAAGATAAAGATGGGATAGCACGGGGATCTAGGAAGCAGTAAGATATGGGGTGGCTCAAATTAGAAAAAAGTTGTATTTTTTTATACCTAACAATATGCCGTTTAGAGAGTTTTAAAATTCCGGGTAGTTCAAAAGATAGGTATCCGGAAAAACCCAAAATTTTGCAAAATCGTTTAATTTTTTTCTGGCTTTATTTGAAAATAAATTTTAAAATAAATTGCATATATTCATTGACACTTTTTGCGCTCTCTCCAATGGCGTCAATATTTTTACAATCTGACGTTTCGTGTTCGAAGAGCCATCATCAGGTTAATTTTTTTAATTACGTCACTGCTATTTTTATGACAAAATCTAAAATCATTTTTTATTCTGAATTAGATGATATTACTATTATACTAAAAAGGTTTTTAGGTTGTTTTAGCTATCATTTAAAGTTTTTCCTGAGTACAGCTCTGAACGCTTTCAAAATATCTACTGAAGGAAGTCATAACAGTATAAAAGTCAATACAGCACAAAATATCCAACATTTTTTTTTAATCAATAATTTAAAAAATTTGTACGTAATGAAAAGATAATACGAATTTATGAAATGTTTTATTATTTCTGTAACCTGAGGGGTTATTTCTTTATCTATCTATCTATCGTTCTGACCAGTATCATAACAAGTCTGGATTTCACAAGAGTTTACTGTTTAATTCTCGAAAGGGAGTTTATAATTACCATTACCTTTTAATTAATACGCGAGAACTTAGAAATGTTGTATGTTCAGAGAATGAAATTCAAGCACTTACCATTCATTGCTTATGTAGAATGTAATCCAGTGACTGGCTGTACAGGGTGACACTGAGGTTGGAGAAACAAAAAGGAAACACCAAAACTTCCAGAAAGGGTTTTAATAACAATAAACAAAACAAACAAACAAAATAACAACACAACAGCTCGTACAAAATTATTAATTAATTTATAGACACGCGACAGCGTACCGAGATTCAGGGAATGCGCGCTCCCTAGCAAAATTTGGAAAAAACTTAATCTATTATTAAATTTAATTAACTAGCCCGAGACTCTAAAACTAAGTCGACTGCTCAATGTGGAGAAGTTTCTTATTGGCAGAAATCCTGAATGTCGGGATGCTTTAGCATAACTATGCCATGTTAATAATTGTCTAATGGACTGAATTTACATATATAAATAATTATGTGACTTACAAGTAACCCTAGCCTTCCTCTAGGGACTCCGTGTAGCTAATACGGGACGGATTAGTCGATCTCATTTAATCTACTCTTATAGCTTGGAAAATCCGTCAAAAAACCAGCTACTTGATCTGTTACTTTCTTTTCCATTTACTATCAATTTAACAATTTGATTTAATTCTACTTTGGAACCTCTACGTTCTTCTCGTGATTTCGCGCGTTATTAAAAATATGGGTTTCTACGCTGGCGCCTCCCAGACGCAACAGATGACTGTCACATGGCCCCCACTCTAAGTGAACTTGTTAAAAATATGGCTAAATTTCTCCGAAGGACGACGCTACCTACTTGAAACTCTTAACTTTCCAATAAATTAGTGTTGACTGAAATATTTTACTTTTTGGCCCCTCCGTTCCGAGAACTAACAAATAAAATACCACGCGTCCCGGCATTTGTTACATTTCTAATTAGTATGCTAATAGTAGTAAAAAAATTGTTGGATATTTTGTACTGTATTGACTTTTATACTGTTATGACTTCCTCCAATAGATAATTTGAAAGCGTTCAGAGCCATACTCAGGAAAAATTTTAAAGGATAGCCAAAACAAGCTAAAAACCTTTTTAACCGATTACAATAGTAATATCATCTACTTCAGAATTAAAAATGACTTTAGATTTTGTCATAAAAATAGCAGCGATGTATTCAAAAACATTAACCTGATGATGGCCCCTCGAAGACGAAACGTAAGATTGCAAAAATGTTGACGCCATTGAATAGAGCGAAAAAAATGACAGCAATGTAAATATGCAATTTATTTTAAAATTCGTCTTCAAATAAAGTCAGGAAAAAATAAAACGATTTTGCAAAATTTCGAGTTTTTTCGGATATTTACGAAACTACCGGGAATTTTAAAACTTTCTAAACGACATATTGTTAGGTATAAAAAACCACAACTTTTTCTAATTTGAGCCACCCCGTTTCCTAGATCCTAAAGCTATCCCATCGTTATCTTGGACAGACTGTATTTCAAATAATACAATCCTTTATTTAATTTTTGACAGATTTAGAGTGCTTTCATACGAGGAAACTACCTGCGGCAGACTATCTGCGAGAAAACTAATTGTACAAAAGTAGTTATGAAGAACTAATGTACAGCTAATCTTCTCGCACTCTGCCGCAGGTAGATTCCCCGCATGAAAGTGCACTTAAATTTACCGAATTAATAAAAACTAAATAAAATAAATCCGGTACAATATAATAAAAGTTCATATAAAATTGAAAAACAAATTGTCAAATATTTTATTAAAAAACTGTATCTATAAATTGAAAATATAATACTCTTCAATAAATAATTAATTAGAAATAATTTTTAGGAACATAATTAAAATTCCAAAATGTGTTTATTTGCACCACTACAGCCTAATGTTGGTTTATTTTCACTTTTACTATCCTGGTCTTGAATATCTGAAAATTTAAAATATTGATTACTGTACAAAATGAGCCATATTCAAAGAGATATTAGGGTATCTCAGACTACTACTAGCGATAAAACCGATTCTTTCCCATACAAAAACTGTCAAATCAGATATTGTTATTGTTTTTTAATAAATCTCTATGACATATGTCGTAGCCAAGGCAAATTTATATGTGTCAAGTAGCTAAAGCAAGTTACTAAATCAAGTAACTCATGTTTGGTAAGAAAAAGTTTAGCGTGTATGCATTTCAGTATTCTCGTGTAGTGTTTATTTACACGTGGTACATCAATTATATATTAAATATAATACGTGAATTATCAGATATAAATGTAGACGTAATTGACTGAAGGAAAACATAGCGCTTCATCTATGTTACCGAGAGAATTTGCAGGGAAAGATTTACCGAAATATGAAAACTGTATGAGGATGCTCAAGGAACAGTTTGACACACTAGTAGATCAAGTAGCCCTTAAAAAATAAAAAATTACCATTTTATGTCATTATACCAAAATTTATAGAAATGTTTGCTTCCAGAATTAATATAATATGTATATATGTGTATATGTGTATATGTAAACACTGTAGATTACTCTGGCTTCCACATTTGCTTTCAAGAAGAGGCATATTGCCAAGACGAAAAGTTTACCCACGCACCACAAAGTGGCTAGTCAAAGGCACGTCCTTCCTGTGTAGTTGTGTGTATTTTGGTTTAAAATTTTTGGGTTTCTATTAGCTAATTTTTCACTAAAAAACTGATCCTCGTCGACAATTTTTTGAGAGACAGGTGACCGAAGTATATCTGAAGTTTGGGCAGACAACAGTCATTGACTGGACTGTTTGGGCTGCAATGAATCATTATTTTGCTGTTCGACACTGTATGTGTCCTTCTGAGATAATAATGTAACAGGAAAACTTAATTTTAATATTTCAACAACAACATAAACCTTGAAATATCCGATATAGACTCTGCCTACTAATAGGTCCCTGTGGTTCAGTTTGTAAGCTCACAACTACCAAACTGAAGGTCCCCAGTTGGAGTCGCAGAAAAAACTTTATTTTATTAAAAAAAAACATTCTTGTACATACATCATGTTTATAATGAATGGAATACTTTGCCTAGCATCAGTGTATTGAAAACTCATTACGATACTCACATAAATAACTGATTATTAAATATCATATACGTACCATTTATGTTTACTTTATAATTTTGTTATGATTGATAAACTGTTTATTTCTGTTTACTGCTCTCATTGTATTTTTATAAGCATAATAGGTTATACCTCTGACCTTCTGTATAATTAAAAACGTGGGCAGAGGTATAACCTATTATGCACATAAAACTTGTACATACCCTACTAGAAATACCATAACAATTTACCTTTTTCAGTTAGAAGTACTGTTTTGTATCAATGGAACTTACAATGACTGAATATAACCAAAGAGGAAAAATTTATATTTTATGGAATTTGTGGCAGTTGTACATATGATAGTAAATTGTTATTACAGCTAACTATTTCTATTAAAAAAAACCTTAAAACTGTTAAAATTCTTTTCTAAACCACAGTCATCGATATTCCTATTTAAAAAATTATTATGGTTGCTTCATAGTTCCATAGTATCATCAATCAATCTGTAAAGTTTATATAGGAGAAAGCTTATTTCTAACTCTAACTAAATCTCAAGAAAAAGAAAATCACCTTGTAACAAAAAAAAATCTGATTTGACAATTATCTTTAAAATTGAACTCGAGAATGTGCATGTACTTATTTTTACATTATATTTTCTGAAATACCTACTTTGAAATACTATCGAATTTGTATAGCCATATGAGAGGATTTCTTAAAAAAAGTTTATATGAAAATAATATCTAATGGTTTGGAATTTACAATAATTTTCAACTCAAACCACACCAAAGTGTTACCATACAACTTTCATTATTAAAAAATACTCCTTTGACTTTGAATATTGAGATATGTATGTATTTGGATCTTCAAAAATAAAGGTAATTACAGTATAAAGTCAATTATTTGAAACTTAATGATCCGGATCTCTACATTTCTAAGAGCGTTTTTGAAGAGTCACAGAAAATATGTGCACACAAACTGATTAGTTCTAACTACATAAATGATGAATGGTAGATTACACATTTTATGATCCACTGAATCATTTTCAAAAGGACACACGGACAATTCAGAAAGGAGCCGATGATAATCACATGATCACAAAAGTTCATGCGCAAAATCGATCAACCTTTAAATCTGTGTTCAAACATGTGCGTTTTCCAATACAAAACTATAGCTCTAACTACACCACTGATGACTTTATTGCATCTAGTATACTTTATTGTTTAACTTAAGCATATATTTCATGTACGGTGTTCGTTTGACCCAATTTGCTCTGGGCTAAGGTCAGTTCAAGGTCAAATGTACAGAATCAATTGCCAACAAAGTAAACCTACATATCTATACGTTTTTGGAGTTGCTGAATCCGAATCCAAGATTCATTTGATCCAATCAGATTTGCTAAATACTCTCAAGTTCTAAATCTAAAACATCCAAGTTAATCATTTATGCGTATTAAAATTTGAGTAACAAATAACATTAAAGAAAGCTTTAACTCTGAGCTCATGATTCTCGAATTAATTGTTTAGACATGCCAAATTCTAGTATCAATAAGCCTAATTAAATAAACTTTAAACCAATGTGTCCATTCATGTATATTAATTTATCCAGTGAGTCCGTGTCGATTAAGATTCCTGAGAATAGTTTCTTACAATAAGAGGTTTTCTGCTTTGGTGAATTGAAATCTCACTATTATGGTATCAAGAGACTCACTTTTGTGGTATGGAACTATTTTGTTGTAAAAAGATCTGCGAAGTGGATTTCTTTTACGTTTTCTCAATTTCAATGGTAAATCTCGTTTTAACGACTTGCAGTAATCGGCTAACATGTTCATGTTCCATTAGCGTTGATACTGACGCTCCAATTTGGCTCAGAGTTAAAGCTTTCTTTCTTTAACCTTATTTGTTACCCAAATTTCAATGCGCATAAATGCATGAGTCTTTTGAGTTTAGAATTTGAGAGTATTTAACAGACCTGATCGAGTCAAACGGATATCGTATTCAGATTCAGCGACCTCAAAAACCTACAGATACTACGGTCTTGTCTTTCGGACCTCCCATTTTCTTGTGGAACTGTGTTTTTATATTGGAAATTTAAATATTTTGTCCAAGTATTCCATAAAACGAGATAGTTATTTTAAATTGTGTTTTTATCTCTTTGAACAACATAATAGATACCTTAAATGAAATAAAATACTTTCTCCAAATAAGCTTATATCATTGTTACTTTTGATTGTCTATGTTGCTGTCAGTCTCACCTAGTAAGGATAATCGAGTATATATTGCGCTATAATATTCTTTTGAACAGGCATATAAAAATTAATTAATCGATGAAAGAACATTTAGAAATTGGAACATGTCTAGGGAGATCCAGCTTTTCGATGGCTTGAATATTAAATTACAAGATTTATTATCTCTAGAATATAAAAAATAATAAAAGAAAATATGTATTACCTGGCGGTAAGTGAAGGACTTCTATAGAAAATTTCTTCCTCCTCAACTTAAATGCATATTCGACTGAACCCGGATGCTTGGATGCTAATGAATTTATTGCCGCTAACTTCGTTAAATAGAAAAATCCATGATAGTCCGATAAACTTTGATTATTTTCTAATTCCGTTCCACTAAAAGCTTGCAGTCTCATAGCTATATCACTACAATGGATACACCTATCTAAAGAGATCTGAAAAATAAAAAATAAGTCTCAATTCAAATAGTGTATGCTGAATTGCCACTGCCAAAAGTATCAAACTCCTAAGTGGCAACATACTATAGAAGAGTAATGACTCAGAAATAAATTGTTCTCATATATTTTTTAAGTACAATTTTTTCCAAAAGATTTACAACTGTATCTTTTTTTTTATTTTCCATCATTTTGTGCAAATCAATAAAAAATAAAAATGTAATAGTAGAGATATTACATTATCATTACCATTATTATATGTATAATGAATTCTATGTCATATAAAATAAACCGCATACACGCAGATAATCACGGGGTAGTTTAAAGAAAAAAATATATGCAAAATATTCATCATTAAAAATGTCATAATGCTAAATTAACTATAATGGCAAACTGATAATTAAAATAATCAATCACATTATCTATGAATAAAAAAAATTATATGCATCACTACCCCCAACTGTTTTTTACAGTTTAAATTAAACTATATTTCCTATTCGTTTTGAATACCTAGCGTCATAAAAAACAAAATTTTGTGTAGAAATGTTCATGTGAACTTTTTTTGTTGATTTGTGAGATAATAGCTATATTTGTTTTAGCACTTGGTTAGTTCAGTTTGGTCAAATTGACCAAACTAGAAGTGACCGTGATTTGAACTAACTTTAGGTTAAACAAAACACATATCTACTCCATTTTAAATTTTGACTTTTGACGTCTGATCAATTTCAGTTTAATTAGGTTGTTGTTGTCAATCATACTTACAATCAACATATCTTCTTCGGATGAATCCATATCCAATATCAACGGCTTATTTTTATTATTTAGATTTATGATTATTATTATTTGTAGGTTATGTTTTGTTCGGTTGTCTTGTTCACTTACTAACCACGATATTAGGGGGTAACTGATTTTGGTCACATTTTGGTTTGTTCACTTGTTTAAAAAAAAAACGAACTTGGTCAGAACTCTACTGAAAGTGAATTAACCAAAGTGACCAAGTGTGTAAAACAAATACAGCTATAATAGGTAACCATCAAAACAAAGTCAAGAATTGTGTTCATTTCCTGTATATATAAAATAATATGAAAAATTTCAAATAATGTCCTTCGTTATCTCTAAAATTAAGTAAACAAATAATTTTTTGCTGTTTTAAAAAACCAATTCAATTGATAACATTTAAATTTCTAGAAAAATGTTTTACTTTCTTAAGATTTCTACAGATTTGGAAAAAAAAGATTCTGACAGATCTATGTATCTATATCCCTAAGTGGATTTGATTGTGATAAAAACACATAAAAGTTTACTTATAATACTTATAATGAAACAAAACATTATTACTGTATCTACTGTATATACAGAGCCTTTATAAATGTTTACAAGCCACGTGACGGCTAAGCTTAGACAACCCAACATTAATTCATTAAAATCCGTAAGTTTTGGCATCGCCAAAACTAAGGATTCGTTTACAATGAACAGTAGCAAAACGTTATGCCTACTCTTGAGATAATGCGACTGATGATTGGTTGAATAGAACCTCGTGAAAAATTACAGCAATCACAGCAGATAAAACAGAATGTTGTGTTTTCATGTACTTAATCTTGATCTCATTGTCTAAATAACTTTTAATTTTACCAAAATTTGATTGCCTACCTGAAGGGAATGAAATTACTATTCCAAACAAAATTACTGGTCAAGTGGCTTGTAATTATTTAGGTATAAAGGCTCTGTACAGTTAATAGAGCTCAAATAATTACAATTGTATTTTTAAATACGAGTACAAGTTTCAGCGTCGCCATAAATAAAACATTTCTACTGAAAATAAATGTTACATGAAGCATATCTACAAAGTAAGAGTACCGAGACTATGATGCTATGTGGTTTATGTTTTCGACAAAGTTGGCAACACTGCATTCAAGGCCAATCTTGGGATGGTGAGAGCAGAACAGGCAATCATTTGTCTCAATCAGCTGAGAACTGTTGTTGTAGTGGTGTGTTGAAATGACTGCCGCTATTCCATATCCTGCCAGCTGTAAAGCGAGGAGCATAATCCGGTTTCTTCTTGCAAAGGGAAAGGTGCCGTTACAGATTTTTAACAAAATCAAAACTGCTTATGGGGATGGTGTGATGAATGTACTTATATGTACAAGTGGTGTCATGAATACAAAGCTGGCAGAACGAATGTTTATGATAAACAAAGGAGTGGACGTTCCTCAATCGTGACTGATGAGATGATGAACAAGATAAAAGAAATGCTTCGTGATGACCATCGACTGACTTTGGGTGAGATGAACTCAGTATTTTCACAAATCTCCAGATTCTGCTTGAAATCATTACGGAAACACTTGTTTATTGAAAATTGTGTGCGGCGCGGGTTCCAAAACAGCTCACAGATCAACACAAAGCCAACATAATCACATCTTCGGGGGAATTTCTCAAGCATTTTGAACGATTCCTTGATTGTACTGTGACTGGCGATGAAATGTGGGTGGCCCACAACACCCGAGACGAAGAGACAATCAGTGGCTACATCCGTCTTCACCATCAGTAAAAATATCAAAACCATTGTTTTGGCTTGAAAAATCATGGCAACTGTGTCTAGGGACCGTAAAACAATTCTCCTCATTGACTTTTTGCCCCAGAGAGAAACAATTAATGCTGCACGGTACTGAAAAATCATGTAAACATTGTAGAAAGCCCTGACCTGACACCTTCTGATTTTCATCTTTTCTCTCCTCTGAAGGTATTTATGGATGGTTTTCTACCAACGATGAGGTCCACAGTGCCATGAAACAATAGACCCGAGAGGTGGTAGGAGATTTTTTTTACCAAGATATTAGAAAGCTCACAGCCTCAGCTCACAGTAGATTGAGATTGAAGGCAACTATGTCGAAAAATAGTGTTTGATGTACCTTTCTGAATAATTTGTCATATACTGCAGTTTTGATTTAAAAAAATTAAATTGAATACCTACTCTTACTTTGTGGATATGCCTGCAATTGTTATATGAATATAGAAGTACTTACCTCATGATATAAATGTGTTGGTACAGTAATAACTGCGACTGCATATGCAGATCGAACCAGGGCCCTCAAACAGAAAATAAACATGTCTAAGTCCCTACTGCTGTCTATAGAATGTATTGATTTTCTATGTGGTAGCCACATTGGTGAACCCAAAGAATGTATTCCTATACGTAACACAGACCTTCTCTCAGGATTATCTTTTAAAAAGAACTTGCCTTCTTTAATTTTATATTTAATACATTTCAATAGGTCATTATAAGCAGGATTGGAAAATGTTTTAGAACCTAAAACGAAAATATTAATTTTGAAAATAAATGAATATTCTAAAATAAAGTACCATTTTCTATTCTTTGTCCCGTCCAATAGTAAATATCTGAATTTTCTATATCACAAAAAGACATATTTTTTGAGAGGTCATAATAATGCCCGATATGTTTAAAATTATCTGACGAATTGTCTGTTTGTAAATTTTGATATCTGAAAGCTATTTTCATCTTATTACTACTACCAGAGATTTTTGGAACATTAGTCTCTGGCTCAGGATCACTTTCAATCACAGCAGGTAACTCTTTTATCTGAAACAAAAATTATTTATTACAATATGTAGCAAAATCAATCAATTTTATGATAAAAATAATCAAAACAAATGACAAATACATTTTACTATTTTCCCATCAGAAATAAATTCATGTCATATGCAGATGAAACTCATTTATAAAAATAAAAAACTCGGATGAATGAATAAAAATTTATGATTATACTTCATAAGATGAAATTACAACTATGAACCAGATCATTAAAGAACTGTTGAAATTGAAAACCTAGAAAAAAATTTGCTCCATTTTTCTTAGTACTTACATTTTTAATTTATTTTAAGAATTTTAGAATTTGGACATGTCTCTTTATTTAATTATTGCTCTCATAAATGAATAACAAAGTTGGGAGAACAGCTGGCTACTTCTGTAGTCAAGCTGAAACTCGCCCTTATCCCAACTATTCTTTCTTCTTTAATTCTTATGTAATTAACTTTTGATTATGTTTTGTGGATAATAAAGACTTTTATTATTATTATTATTAAAGTTGAAATCATTTGAACTTGGAAATGGCTGATTTTTAACAAAGAAAAACATGAGAGAACTTTTACGTAAAAATAGTTCAAATATTAATGATCTGGTCCTATAAGAGAAGAAAATGTCACTCCAAGAAATATGGGATAAAATTTTGTTTATGTCTTTCAGCTTTACCTGCCCCTGAAAGATTCCAGTTCTAAGTTTCTACTTGTTTATTTTTCGGGCATTTTGAATATATGAGAAGAAATTTTTTTCAGTTTTCAATTTGATTTGAACAATATTATTTTGAAGACTCAGTCTCTTCATGCAAAATTTTTTCCTTATTTTGGGGATTTCATCATGGTAAAATTAATCTATACCTCTTTTAATATTTAGTTATGGCTATTTTAACAAATGCCTATTATATTATTCTTTTTCAAATCATCGTCTATATTATTTAACATCACATAAAATGTCGTTCCCACTTTTAAGCTCTTTTGCACTTTTTTTATTTTACTAACAATCTTAACAATAATATTTTGGGATAATTATCCTTACCAACTTATTCTTTATAGGTTATAGGTACTACTCAAATATAATTTTTTAAATATATATCGGCCATTTTTCTAAGCATTTTCTGAACTATATCCATAGAACATTTCAAGGTAGTTAAAATAGAATTATCTATCAAATATTTAAATTTAGAACTTAAAGTTCCTGCATGATACCATATTAAAATTTCAAATTACACCAAAGCAGTAGCAATTTAATTTTTTATTCTTATTCAGTTGAAACAAGTTTATCAGTTGACATGGATTATTTATATAGTTAATAAGAATTTTATAAACAGCTTATCAGTACTATAATAAAATAACATGCAAAACAACACTATTTATTTTTCCCTAAGATACAAGTTATGATATGAGACAATTGTTGGCAGTCATTTCTACAAATAACTCCCGAGTCAGCAATTTGATTACCCTTTATCTGTGAAATTCAATATCCATTTCCACCGGAATTATTTATCAACAGATTTGCATAACTTACTATATATAAAAACTATCATAAAAACTATATAAATATATACCAGTATATACCCAAAATGTTTTAAAAATTTTAAATTTCATATCAAAAATGGTAAAAATATATATTATATCATAGATATACATATTTTTTAATAACACTACATTTGATATGTCTTCTACTCTCATTATTGGCATAAAAATATCTGTGCTGCTGATCAAAGGTCATTTTTAATACCTATCTGCAAGAATCAAAAGAACTTCTGGCATCTGCATCACAAGAATTTAATATCAGTTTACAGAAAAGATTTTAGTTCATTTACAGCTCCTATTAATTTTTTTTCTTTAATGATGTCTAATATTTTATTAATTTTTTACAAAATTTAAAGATATTTATATTGAAAAAACATTCCAATGAAATAAACTTTAATCCACATTATGTATTTTTTAATGAAAATGTGGATACTGAAAATAATTTAAAATGCTGTTATCTCAAAATATAGCCTGGAGACAAAGTGTTAAAATTCTACTTTTATGGAATGGTAAGTCTCATAGTCAATCTATTTTCCAGAAGAGAAAATAAGTTCAAGCAAATATTATAATTAAATATATTTAAATAAAGAATTACAAATTAATAAAAATATTTATTTCTATTCTTGAAATTTAATTTCTAATCTGCAAATTAACTGTAATTTTAACATTAATGACAAAGCCCGCTAATTGATTTATGAACTCTTTAAAGATTTTACTATTGATTTTATAAACTACGCTATAAGTCACAGTTAGGACTTATGCTTGCACGCAAATTTTGACGATTGTAGGACGTCAAAATCCAGAAGGCAATCTAACAAATTATACATTTATCATTATTATTTGTTGCGCCTTGTGTGACATGTAAATTTTATCAAATTGTTCAGTGGAGTTAAAAAACTGTTTACTGACTTTTTTATTTAACCCTTTCACTGCTCCAGACGTATATATTCGCTAAAAATGTATAGGGCTCAAACTGCTCATGACGGATTAATTCGCTTGAATAGTTAGATTGGATCAGGCTGCTCAAATCGTATATATTCGCAACCATGCGCAATGTGACTCGGTTATTGCAATTGGTATGGCGAATTTTTGCGGGCGAGCTTATACCGCTTGTGAAAAATATTTTTTTGGAAAGAGGTACTGGTAATAATACCAAGATTGTTCATCTTTCTTTCAGTTTCTTTTTAGTACATATACTGTATTTTATTTAAAATAAAATCGTAAAGTTTATCGTAAATCGTAATTTAACACAACATAATGTAAAACTATAAGTGGTCTAACTGCTACAGACGTATATATTCGCACGCTATAAACTTTTGCGCACGGCGCGGTAGCTACGTTCAAACATATTGCGCAGCGAAAGGATTAAGCATTACAATTATTTTTAATTATTTTTTATTTTTACCACATTTCTGTAGAAAACAAGATAGCTGTTTTTAACCAGATTATGCAGTATGATGTCATTTATCCTACGTTCAGAACTTTACCCATTTTGCTGAAAATATGCACGTCACATTTTGAAGGCGCAACGATAATATACTAGTTTTATTACATTTTTATAATAGTTGAAGTAACAGTTTGTCTTCTTTAAGGCATGCTTTCTTAGATCTGACGACAATAATTATGTTGTCTCTGGCCGAAAATTGCCTAATTTCCACTAAAACTACGGGCAATGTCAACAATTAGACGGACCTTTTTGTCCTGAATATGTAATGCTTTTACCATGTCTATTTTAAATAAAATACTTACGATATGAGAAGGATTTATGTCTTGACTAGCTATGAACGTAGAATGATTTGAAACAATACCTTCAGCAAGAAAATATTTGAGTAAAATTTTTGAGTAAGATCCATGGAAATCTTCCTCTGAAACAATAAACATTTTTTTTATAACAATCTTATATTTGGTACAAAAATTCTCACCTATTAAAACTACTGTTCCTACTGGTAATCCACCCCCTATAATAATGATGAAATTTTAGTCAAAATCAGAACAGAGATATAACCTAAAATATAACTTGCCTAAAAGTGCATCCAAAGATGGTACTCCTGAAGAAGTCAGTAACTGGCCATTTTGGGTACTAAGTGTAGTCCCAGGAATGTTTTTCTGAATTTTCTTTTCCATTAATTAAATAATATTTAAACGTTAATTTCTAATTAAGTTTCTAATTTCTTATACCAAATTTTTTGGTTTGGTCGTTTTTTTTACCACCGACCATTGACCACAAATAATAACTGAATCACAAGTCAGCAGAAACAAAGAAAACACAAACCTAGAAAGACCCATTGTCAGCCCCAGCCTAAACTGCCATTATTCCATGGCTAGAAATTGGCCTCAATGACTTGGGATCGAGGGGGATTATCCCTCTTTATCCTGCCTCATCTCGTGTAGGCCTGGACAGCCTTCGTAGGTGGGCCCCATCCGTCGTCTACCCCGACCGCAAATGCGGCCGGTGTAGGCGCTTTGTGGGACCTCCTTTTGTCCTGGCTGGGCCCCGCCGGCTAGGGCCCTTTCTTCTGGCGCTCTTCTTGCTTCGCCGGCTCGTCTGTGTAAACCCCGGGGGTAGTGTCATGTTTATGTGTGGTATGGTTGGGTAGGGTAGTGCGGCTATGCAGCCTGGGATGCGCTTTGCTAAG